ATTATGCTCAATATTCACGTTATAAATAAATGATCTGTGAATGAAATGCACGAATTGCGTCAGCATTCAAACGAGAATAATTATCTCAACTTGTTAGTATAGGATAATAACAGCTGTAATTTCGTCGGCGCTTCCTACCTTGGCAGGTGTGTGTTCTGCTGCAAAACAACTTTATAAAGGTATTCTGCGACCACAAATGTAGCTACATGTAGCTGCCACAGTCTCTCCCTCCCCTCTCTCTATCTCTCTCTCTCAAAACGCCCAGCCCAGTTTCACTCAATAAACGCAGGCTGCACTTCTTAATACAAATTCAAACATCCCCATCTCCCATTTAGTCCGAAAGCAAAATATCATACCTACGAAAAAAAAAAGAAAACGACACCGTGTCGACACAATGAACCCCCCTTCCTAAGCAAAAGAGCATCAACCCATACAAAGCTCACTTCCTAACAGACGATTAACTAAACTAAACTAAGGTTCAACCTTTCATTTGGAATTTGACAAATATCTTGGAAGGCTGTTTAAGGTTACAGGGGAACACGTAAAGTGTCCTGGGATATTTAAAAGGCGTTGACGTGTCCTTCAGCCTGACCCTGTCAACAGTGTATATCTGGCTGCTTACCACAGGAATAGAAACAGCAGCAAGCGACGTAAGAGGGCGGGGCTAACGTAAGTGGGCGGGGCTATGGAATAACAGCAGTAGACCAAGGACGTCAATTGAATGGCGTCCTTGAGTAGCTGTAGGACGAATAGCGTGAATATATTTATAACTTCTTGAGACTGATTTTATATTGCGTGCTGCATCCTTTCGCTATTACACTTGAACGTCAGACCTTTTAAACAGAATAGCCTCAGATCTGTGAGCGCGAAAGCCCAAATTAACAACTAGAAGCACGATTTTGTGGCAAAACCGTAAAACAGCAGCTACTAGCACTTCGTTAACGGGTACAAACACGAACCGTAAATCCCCTTACCTACCGGTATGTTGCGTATGTGTAAGAGATTGTCGAGAGTGCATTACTGACGTATTAATAACACAATAATATTTGTGATCATGTCTCAATTTATATTTTTGTCCTATTTGACGTCAAGAATCGTTCGTTTTTCGTCAGAAAAGTAGAAAGAAAATAATAAAGTAGAAAGAAAATAATTTGTCACTTGATTTGTTGACTTGGAATATCCGAAAACTCAACCGCACATTTTCTCGTTAAAAATATTTCGAGATTGAGAAAAAAAAACTTGTATAGCTAGAGACCTGGATGAAAGTTGGCCAAATAGTTCGTGCTTTTTGATGCTGTGGTTCGTGGCTTCTAATTTTACGATCGTGCCATGATATCGTGGTGTGAGTCGTTCATTTGGGCATTCGTGCTCACAAATCTGAGGTTAGTTATTGAAAACGGAGATTTTCATTTTTGAGGCCCGAATATCATGTCTACATTCTTTACCAAGCGATATACTGAATATAATACACCATAAACTACAGGGGGTGGATTATTAATTATTTCCTTTTAGTTTTCCCCTAAGATGCGGGGAAATTTGATTTAATTTGAATGACTTTTATAATAGCACCTTGAACCATTGTTGTTAGTAAATTGGGCACGGAATATTATACTGTACATGCCAAGGATTCGACTCCAAGACCATCAGTGAAGACCGATTAAAAATTAAAGACTGGTTAAAAAAAGGTTTTGCGAAGTTCTTTGGTATGGCGAATCGTTAGCAGTAAATACGTAGATTTATCTTTTAGGATTGAATGACACATTCCACCCTTTCGTTTTTCAATCAACAAACGTAACAGTGAACATTTTAGAAACATATTAGAAACTGTACAATATACTGTATTGAAACCATTTTAATATGCACATTAATTATAAGATATTTTCACTGCTGAAATGTGTTTTCACAGAAACAACATAAAGTATCAATTCTAGATCAAGCGTTCTATTTAATATGCCATGAACCACTGAGGAAGGGTTATCAATAATTTCATATTTATTTTGTCTCAAAATCCGTGGTAATGTGATTTGAATTGAGAGGTAATGAACAGTGCATGTGACCATTAATTACACGTGTTCGTTTAATGAACATGCAATTATGTACGTGGCAAGGTTTCAAATATGAGACCGTCAGCGAAGACCGTTTAGAGAGAGAAACCAATTCAAAGGGTCACTCCACAAAAAAGTGAACATTAGGGTTGTCCGTTACACGCATTTTGTGGAATGATTGCAGATCCGTTTTATGTTTTCAATCCCTGTTGATTTCTTTCCATGTTGGAGGGTACATGTACTATAGTACATAACGGCGAAAATAATGGAGCGAAGTAAAATTATGCAAATGCTGCACATATCACCAGGGGCGGATCCAGGATTATTTGAAGGGGGGGGGGGGACGTCCGCGAATGCGAAGCCCCCCCCCCCCCCCTTTGACGTGGCATTTTGATATTTGAATTTTGAACGGTTCTATTTAAGAACTATGATTCAGCTAGTCAAAATTCTTATTTCGAGAGGGGACTATTGGTGTGATATTTTTTTCAGAAATCGAAGGGGGGGGGGGGGGGAGTCAGGACCCCCCTGACCCCTCTAAATCCACCACTGTATCGCGCACCTGCATCACTGTCTAATGTGACTTAATTTTTCGCTTTTTTGTAGAATGACTCATACCAGGTGGGAAAAAGAACTTAATATTCCAGATAAAAAATACTTAAACCCCCTGTGTATAATATAGGCATCTCTTGCAGAAGTGGTCACCTTGCAGGGAATTCTGGGATTGCCAGTTCGCACACTGTATATCGTTTTTTTTTTTTTTTTTGGTGCAAACCCTTGGATATGGCGGTTAAAAGTGAAGTTTTTATTCAATGAAAATAAGATCTTTTTAAAGAATTTGTCCTTATTCTTACTACGACTATATAAAAAGCACGCAAAATGTATTATGATAATTTGGCATTTGAACATCTGATCTAACGCATACGTACAGTGTATCTCTATGATGTAACCAATGTCAACCCCCCAAAAACATACCATTTGGTTGATCTGAGATTAGACGTTGACGTCAAAGCATTTGATTTCATTATCATTAGTCAGCGTGTTAATGAATCCATTTAACCCTTAAAGCAAGGTAGAATTTCACGTTTTGTGTTAATATTTCGGAATACACTGTAATTCTCAAACAATGACTTCACATCAAATATGTGAGTGTTTTCAGTTACGCAGTAATAGTATATTAGTTTTAGGACTTAGGAAATATCCGAACGTTTTAAAGGCCTGTTTGTCAGATAAAAGCTTGTCCACAATTTCTCTTAAATGAAACACTTATTTTTATATCACTTTAGTAAAGGTCTCATTTATAGAGCATAAACTCCCCTTTTTGTTGCTTTATTTCACCCCACTTTGTACAGCGTAAAGGATTGCCAAGCGACCATCGTTAATTTGGCTGCTTAGTAAATTGGTGTGGGATAGTGAACGTAGTTAATTATATAAGATATGTATTATCATGAAAATTGCCATCGTTGCTGACAAAGGTGGGAACCAAAATATGATTCTAGGTTGGTTTAAAATTGTTTTGCTTAAGGGAAATATTCCAATGCATAATTTTGAATCTTTACAGCTAAGACCAGAAGTCATCAGTCTACAGTGCTTATTGCTGTGATAAAATAGGCGTCAGACCAGTGCTGCCACCTGGTGAGGTAGCTCTGTTTGAAATCGATATTCGCGGCCTTCGCTCCAAATTAAAAACTCTCCTGTTAGCACATTCACCCGATGTATCTTTGATGCGACGCCATAATTTCTCATAACATGACAGTGTTGATTTCCGCATTATGCAAGAAAATAAGTAGGCCCCTAAAAATCATAACGCAGCAAGCCGCCTAAGCTCGTGATTACAAAATTGCCATCTCAGTCTGTGATACTTCACAAGGAATTAAACCTGATAATACCTAGCCGTATGACTCAAGTGACAGACGCATCAGGGTTAAGCTCTTGCGAAGGATAAAAAAAACAAAACAATGATTATATATCACAATCCATTAAAGAGGTGTGCCCCCCTCCCCCCCAGTATACAATGTGCACCCCAGTATACCCCCACAGTCTCTCTCTCTCTCTCTCTCTCTCTCTCTCTCTCGCTCCAAATTCCTCGTCCACCTGCTCAGAAATCAGAATCAGAAACGTCTCATCTAGCGTATTCCGGAGAGCTGGCGTTGCCTGGCGCTTTTGATTAAAAAAAATTCGCCATGGAAACTTCTTTTTTGTAAAATGAGACACATAATATGTAAATTAAGACTCTCCGATCACAAATGTGGAGATCAGTCAGTCGGTAGTTGATCATCGAAAACGAATTTAGGCCGATGTGCTAATGCCACAAGCAGCGACATCTCATCTAACGCATTCCAATCAGACGGGTCCGTTATACCTGCGTTTACCAGGAGCTTTTGATTGACAGGATTCTACAGAAAAATAGACGTTCATTATAGAATAAGACACCGAATTAAAGATTTTCAATATAGGAAGTTCTAAGACGTCCAACCTTATCAGTATGACGTATGCCATGTAAATCAAGTATCTTCAATCACAGAATGATGACTTATATATCTAAGCTCTCGATATATACATCTAGACAAATTAATCACAAATGGCGACATTTTTTGAAATGATCTGTACCGGTATCGTTCATCATCTCTCTCTCTCTCACATACACACGCGCACACACACACGGGCGCGCGAGCGTGAACGCACACGCACACATACTCACGCACACACACACACACACACACACACACACAAGCACACACAAACACACGTACGAATTCTCTTGAACTCTCCACTCCCCACTCCTCTCTCTCTCTCTCCATTAATCCACAAACTAGCGCACGTAATTTCAACTCACAACACGCTGATGACAGTGACCTGTTTTTCATTTTACCATTCATTCCAACAAATATCAAATGACATTACACACATGCAAAATGCAAAAATGCGACTGAGCTTCTTGAGTTGCAAAGAGGCGTCTTTTTTTCTTACCACGAAGAGCACTTAACCGTCTCGTGTATTAATAGAATCATGTCCTAGTTTTCAAAAGTTAACAACCACTGTACAGCGATCCTTTATTAAGGGTCATTCTAAATGAATACTACAACGGACGCGCTGACTGGACATGGCTGAAATTATATTAAAGAATTGGTAGGGTCACGGACTTGCAGCGATTCACATCCAGGCTACTAGGATAGACCCAGGCAACTCGTTAGCACTGTGGCTACTCGGATGTGTACTTCCCAAGGTCACAACATCTGATCGTTTACGGAAATGGCCTTGTACTGATTAATATGCATTGATACAGTCAAAGGATATAGATCTAGGATCACAAGTGACAAAGTATAAAAGGCTGTCATAATGGGAATTCGAAGCCGGCTGCCGGACGTTACAATACCAGATGTGGACTTGGCCAAGTTTGTCCTGGATAAAATAGACCAGTATGAGGAGAGTGTGGCCCTGGTAATACGCTCTGTCTCTCTGTCTCTCTCTCTCTCTCTCTCTCTCTCTCTCTCTCTCACACACACACACACACACACACTTTACTACTGGAATCATTAGTTTTCTGTCCTCTAGCTGTTGTTGCACGCACAAACACACATACGCAGACACACATAAGCACATACACACAAGCACACACACACACACACACACACACACACACACATTCGCCTTCATTGTTAACCTCTAGAGCAGAATAAATTCCCAGATGAGACTTCTTCACCCACTTACTGTACATATATTTATTTCTCAAAAGCAAGCAGAAGATTCAAAGCAACAAGGTTAAGGCCTACTCGTATAGAATTGTTGTTTTTTTTATCATTATAAAGTACGTCAGTGATCTAAGAACATTTTGAATTTGTTCTGATTGGTATACGTAAGGCTAAGCCATGTCAGACTAACACCCTTTATTATTCTCTCCTTTTAAAACATTTTCTTAACGCTAAGTATAGGTACACGGTACCTGGTTTCATTCATCCCCATAGTAACAGCATAGCTACCTGACTGAATTCTGGTGCATTTGGAATACCATTATACGACCGTACTACATCATGATATGAGGACCCTGTGGGGAGGCCTCGGTGGGGAGTTACTGGGTTTCTTGTTTGTGAGGCTCCAGAAGGGGGTGCTGGGTTTATTTAGTTTGATGAGGCCCTGGTGATGAGTTTGGGGGTTTTATATTTCGGTGAGGCCTAAGGTGTGGAGTTCCGGGTGTCTGTACTTTGATGAGGACCGCCCGGTTGTGGTGGTCGTCGTATGTGTGTGTGTGGGGGGGGGGGGGAGTGGTAGGGACAATAAGGTCCCGGTAGTGGGGTGGCTGATGCCGCACGCCGTAAATCGGTTGTCGGGCAGAAATTGTTTGAGACTTTGACATAAATTACATCAGGCAATTCCCAGACTCCACTGTCCTCGTCCATAAGCTGTAAAGTGATCTTGTTGCCTTCAGCATGTAACTCGCTGTCCTCGTCCATAAGCTGGAAAGGGATCTTGTTGCCTGCAGCATGTAATTCAATCGCTCGCCTGCGTAACTAGTTCATTATTTAAGCAAAGTGTTTTTTCTTTGTTCTTTATGCTGTACAATGTTAAAACATTAAAAATCTCAGTATAAGATCGCTTGGTTCTTCTTTAAAGGGACAATTGAGACAAACTGCTGTGCGGATCGGTTTGAATTAAAAGACAATGACAACTTTGACGATGTCGACAGTGTTTCATAACTGATAAAATAGATAAGAATAAAACAATGTTCATGATCATCTTTCATACCACCCTTTTTTATTTCTGTGTTAAGGTTGACTCACAGAGTGGGGCGAAATACACGTTTGGTGACGTCAGGGACCACGTGCGTAGAATTGGTAGCGCGCTCACTCGGCTGGGGTTCAAGAAGGGGGACGTGTTCTGCGTCTACAGCCCGAACGTTCCCGAGTTTGCCCTGATATTGCTCGGCGTTCTTGCCGTCGGAGGAACAGTCACTACCGCTAACCCACAGTACACGAAAGGTGACAAATCTTAACATGAATAAGATCTGCTTGACTCGACTGTTTATTTCTTTATTCATTTTGTTTTAATGTAAAGAGAGCCTTAAATGTCTTTCGAATCTTTACCCCAGGATAAAAAAAATCATTTTTTTTTCTTCAATGAGCAGTTGGAACTGACATTTGGTGCTGCTGAAAAGTGGAGCTTGTAACGCCATTGTTTTTGTCAATACACTTTATTTAGAGATCAAATAATTTCCTCACTGTTCCCGGTATAATCAGAATAAGACATTTTCATTATTATCCCTAGATGAACTGAGCAAACAGATGAAGATCACACCTGTAAAATACATGGTGACGGTTCCGGAGTCTTCACAGAAAGCTCTACAAGCCGCTGCAGAAAACGATATCAAGGTGATATACCTCACAGTTTTTCTTTTAAAAAATATAGACAGGAAAAGGAAATGAATAAATGATAATGCTCGTGCTTCCAAAGAAAACGTGGGTATATTAATTTTTTCCCTCTGTGTATCTTAAAGCATTATAAAAGATAAAATGCATAATATTGACATTTGAATTGAACTGGTTAAAATATAATATCAGAATACACAAATTGTCTGTATAGTCATTTTTAATTCAATTTTTCACCACACAGTATTTCGACCTCAATTGTTCAAAAGATTTTTAAATCTATGTTTTAAGTCAGTGTTCGTGTTTGGGCATGCCCCAGGATGTAAGCCATTCCATGACCTTCTTCGAGACGATGGCCACGCCTTCCCTCATGACGTCATAATCTCGCCGCAAGATGTCGCTCTCCTCCCATTCTCCAGCGGGACCACAGGTCTGCCAAAAGCTGTCATGCTCACGCATCATAACATCGTTGGGAACTTGATGCAAATGAGGTACGGTTTCTACTGTGAATATGTCTAGAAAATAAGGATATGACAAGGACAATGTTTACTCACCTGTGGAGATGAATGAATTGTGTTTCTTCTGATTGTTGTTTATGTCTTATATTGCCGGTGCGTTGAAAGTATAGATTTGAAAAAAAAAGTTTACACGAAATACAATAAAACCTCGTTTCTGCTTCATATTGGTCATGGTTAATACACATTATAGTTTATAAGTTAGAAAAAAGACGATAAAACACAGTTACAAACTTTTCTTCTTGCGCCGTGATGTCACTTTTTTATATCTTTAATTAATTAATTTATTTTTTATCAGAGAGTTTTTATACGCTGGGCGTCCTGGGGTTGACGGCTTTCTTGGTTTCCTTCCGTTCTTTCATTTGTTTGGCTTGGCCATCATCCTCATTGGTGCTCTGAAATTTAGGTTGAAAGTAGTATGCATGAAGAAATTCGATTTCGAAGAGTTTCTGGCTTGTATTGAAACCCACAAGGTGAGTGAACAATCTCGGTCAACTTAAAGGTAATTTAAAACATTACAAACGTCTGATGGTCCTTTCACGTTATCCTGTAGCATATTCCGATACTGAGGAATATTTAGAATTGATTTCGTGAAATCTGACTCGTGAAATTAGCACTCTCATAACTTGAACATCTCATCAACAATCATTAAGACACTGTTCGATTCAACGTATCAGTACTACATGTAGTAGCAGTTGCTCTTGCTAAAGTGCAATGGTGTAATGAGCTTAATATGTCTAACACACCTCCCTGAGAAGCTACTTATTTAGTTAATTAACCTCTAGCAACTCGAGGAGGCAAGTCAGACATTTAAGCCGCTTACAGTGATAGCACTTAGGCACTTGGGCAGAATCTCCCGCAGAGTTTGATCGATCCAGCTAAAATGCTGGGTTTATCTGAACTTTCCCTTATTGTTTAAGCTTATAAAATATATTCTTATAAAAAGAAATCCAGTTTTCCCGGAGGAAAAAAATCACCTTATCACAAATCAATGCTCAAAATGCTCTTGCTAGAGTCCGATGTTTTGCGCCATTTATAATTAAATATCATAGTTCTAAACCATTTATGATTCATTTAGACCACGTTGTCTGCACGGCATTTCAGTGGGACATCTAGACATCAGGTTATATAATTTTGGGGATTTAATCGGTCGGTATTGGGAAAAATAAGTACCTGCATAGGTAATTCAAACACGAAAACATATTTCTTTGAGTTATTTTCAAACGCATTAAACACCTTTTTTTTTAAATTATTGTTGAAGATCCGGTACCTTTTCGTGGTACCGCCCATCGCCATATTGCTAGCCAAGCACCCTCTGGTGGACAGATACGACCTCTCCAGCCTGGAGACCATCATGTCTGCCGCCGCTCCTCTCGGGAAGGATATTGAACAAAAAGTGGAGGCTCGTCTGAAAACCTGCAGCGTTACACAAGGTACTGGTAAAATATTCTGATAGGGGATTTGAACGCCTGTAGTTAATGATAATTCCAGTCACATTGATAGCCTGCATTGGTAACTGGGCCCGACTGTATTAAGACTACTCAGAAGAATTATCTATATTTAACTGGTATCTATTTCTATTTCATGCTATATATGAGTGTGTGTTCGTGTGTTTATCTACATCAGAAGCGATCGAGCATCACATAGCCAGTTTTGTTGGCCTAAATTGTTCAAACCGCCTTCTCTCGCAAGAATATTTAAAGAAAAATAGAATCAACTTTAGTTCTATTTTTAAGGCTACGGTTTGACGGAAACCAGTCCGGCATGCTCTCTTCCCCCCTTAGACAGAAAGGCAAGAAGATCTGGCTCCTCTGGGATATTGGTGGCCAATACAGAGTGCAAGGTAAGCAGCAGGGGCTGATCCAGAGACATTTTGACACTCTTCCAAATTACCTTCGTTGATTCATCCTCCATTTCTGATCGTCTTCCCACAGAAAAATCAGCTACCCATCAATGTAAACTTGAAAATCTGACCGTCTTCCGTAAGACCCAGAGGACGGCCTCAGTCACCCCCTGAGCAGAGAGTGTATATATGTATTTTCTCTTAATATAGTACATATGAAATTAGTATGGCTTAATAGTAAACCAGAGAGCTGATAATGCCTTTGCGTCTAACCTGCCTTGTAAATATGTTAAAGTGAATGGAATGATGTCCATTTTGTTCATGGTATGCTGTGTGTGTAGAAATAAACTACTACTACCACCACCAGAAATATTTAACTTGAAGCAGGAAATAGCTATTCTGCAGGATGCACACTGTTTAATAGCAACTCCTGCATCCCGATGTGTCAACTCTTTGGTCATCCCGAGTGTATTTCAGCGAGAAAACACGAGATTTTGCGACTTTTGAACCCACCCATAGCAATCAAACCGTCCTCTGCCTCTAGGGAGGCTGTTTCCCTGTTTCCGTGATGGGCCGATTTTTATTGTTGTTACTTTTTCTCACATCCTTCAGGTGGTGGACCCACAGACAGGCAAGGAACTGGGTCCCAACCAAGACGGCGAGCTCTGGTTCCGTGGAAGCCATATCTTCAAGGGGTACCTCAACAATCCAGAAGCCACGGCGGCCGCCATTGACAGCGACCGGTGGTTCCATAGCGGTAGGTAGAACATCCTCTCTACTACATTGTAAGGTTCAGCTTCTGGTATTGGGGAATGAGGTCCACCAACACAGAACTTCAAGTTTAATTTCGTAAAAGAAAATGTTCCAGACAAAATAATGAAAAACAGGATAAATGCAATTAATTGTACTTGTACATCCCCACCTTTATTTTTTCTCTTTACTTGATGTCAGTGTTTTGCATATTGTTCGTATCAGAAAGTCACATATATATTCTAATTTGAGTAAGGTTCATTTCACAAAAAAGCTTTTCTCTTAATCACATCAGTGATTTTAACATTTGTTTATTTTCTGACTTTGTTTAACACTTGAATAATTCTGACTTGCCCAATTATTTTTACTGTTTTATACTGCAGCACTCTCCAGTGTAAAACAATAATAAAAAGTGATATAAAACAGTTTTGCAAATATAACGCAAAATGTGATTTTTTACTCACGTGTCTATGAAATTAATTGTCTTCTTATTTAGAATTGTGTACTGTTGATTTCCTAGGTGATATTGGTCACTATGACGACGACCAGTACATTTACGTCATTGACAGAATTAAAGAATTCATCAAGTACAAAGGATTTCAGGTATTGGTATAATATTTGATAAGTCATTTTAGTACATATTAACATGCAGGGAAATGAAGAGTAAATGAACAACAATGAAAATAAATGAAAAATTAAATAATAATTCACCACATTTTAAAATGCTAAGCATTTGCATTTTATGATATTCCATCTGGACATAATTAACGATGCCATGTCGTTGCAGGAAGAAAAAATGTTAGTCAAAAAAGCTTTGAAAGCTTCATTGAATATTTCCACCGCATTTCCGTCTTAGTATTTACATATAGCAATTCTATAATGCCCCACCAGGTAGCGCCTGCGGAACTTGAGGGTTTGCTGGTGACACACTCTGCCGTAGCGGACACTGCGGTAGTTGGGCGCCCTGATGAAGACGCTGGAGAGCTGCCCATGGCGTTCATTGTGCTGAAACCTGGACACACCGCTACCGAGACGGAGATAATGGACTTTTTAGCAGGTACATGTACCATGCCATAAGAACACGTTTCTTGGCTGTCTGTACTCGGGGTTTAATTTTTGATGTTAGAGTTAACGTGGTACAGCCTTTGTTTAAAAATTACAGATTTACTTGTAAGATTGTTTTCATTTGTTCATTTTTAATCTATTCTTAATTTTATTATTAATAAAAGAGAATCATTCTTTACTTAGAGACTATATAACATAATTCGATATCAATCACGAGTTTTCGGTCCACCGTGTACCTTGGTCAAGTGAATGGCTGTTTCGCTCCGGAATCCGACGCTCAGGAAAAAGGACCCTATCGTAAACTCTCGGGAGTTGGAGGCCCTGGTTGTGTTAGAAAATGTGTGCGTGTGGGGAGGGGGAGGGGTCCGTCCTGATGTCAACTGTTTCTCTTACTTAGCGACTCAGCGTCGGATTCCAGCGCGAAATCACCGCTGATGTGACGCTGTGTTTAACTGCTGTAATTGCTGTAAAGCTCATATGTGAAATAATAATTCTTTTTATCGCCCTTTTATTATTATTATTATTATTATTATTATTATTATTATTATTGAAAAGGGAGACAGTAACCTTAACATGTTATCCACAGTGTTGTCTTCTTCCTTTCACTGTCTTTTTTTAGTTTGCAGTTTCTAATATCATTTATATATTCTGTATTATGATTAATGTTTTCAGCCAAAGTGGCTCCATTCAAACGTCTTCGAGGCGGAGTTGAAATCGTTCAGGAGATCCCGAAGACCGCCAGCGGGAAGATTCTGCGGCGAGTGTTGCGTGAAAAATTGCGGCAGAGGGCTCAGGGCTCGATGAAATCTAAGTTGTGAGATTGGCGTCTTCTGGGCCTGACAAAACTACATACATGTAGTTTGAGTTCTGGGAATGGGGTTTTAGATGGAACTTCAATACTCAATACTTTATCACTATCACCATCATCAGAGAAGTCAGCATAAGGCGGTTACTAGTTAACAGCACAAGGCGATACTTAATTTACATGCCAATACTCATAGAGGGCGCTAGGATTCTCTGGTCATTGTAACTGAAAGCTTTTTGGTCTTGTTATAGTTCAGGTTATATATCATTGTAACTAAAAGCTACAAGTATTTTAGCCAGATTTTTGACCTCTTTATAGTTCAGATATATATCATTGTAATTGAAAGCTACAAGTATTTTAGCCAGTTTTTTTACCTCGTTATAGTTCAGGTTGTATATCATTGTAACTGAAAACTAAGTATTTTAGCCAGCTTTTTGGCCTCATTATATTGGCCACATATCCTGATATACAGGTACATGCATTTATCATAATCACCTACTTACAATTTTTTTTCTTTCTTTTATACGCATCTAGCATATACATGTATTTTCTTTTTGTTGCGTGAGCTCAAATATAAGGGACAAGTTGGTGAACATTTTACAACCATATTTCATACATCTTAGTTGGAAATTCGAAACGCCAACATGTTGTGCTGCGAAAGCCGGTCAGTTTAAGCCCACTTTACACTGGACGGCGTCCTCTCCGCGTCCCGTAGCATGGCCCTGTTTGAGAGTGAAAAATAATACTTTACGTGCCGACAACTGGCCTTTTATTGAGCATTCATTTTGAAACCAAAGCAATGCTTGTGCCTCCTTTTTACGACCACAGCGATGCCAGTTTCATGGTCGACAAAGAACGCAGAAAGGACGCCGTCCAGTGTAAAGGGGGTTCAAGCGATCAAAGTGCGCCCACTCAGTTTCGTGACACCTGTGTGACCGGAATGGTGGTATTGGGCTTAGTATATATTTCACGAATGTCGTTTGTACAAAGTAACTGAAAAAGGACCAAGGTTCCTAGCGGACTACCATTCCTGTCACACCGACACAGGATGAAACAAATTTAGTTATTTATTGGATTGACAACATTGGTATTTGAAGGTTTTTATCTTCGTTTTATTTCATTTAATACGATACAAGTGATGTCATTATTTTAGCTGCATGATTTGTAGGAGTTACGAAATGGTCATGTATTATGTGGAATACAATTGTAGTAATAAAGTTGAAAAGATGCAATAAATAAACTGGCACATTTGGAGTCCAATACTATTATGAAGCAATCTTAATAATGAACGTAGACATAACTAATAAAGACTTTTCAATCAGCCTACTTAAATGGTATGAAAATGCGGAATGTTAAAACTTGTTATTCTTCATACATTGTAAATAGTTTTTTGCTGTTGTCTTTACGTTTTTAACACAATATTACAAACTAAGCCTCGGAGAAGATAAGTATAAGTTTTAACATGTTTTACCTTCATAAGATAAAGTTCAGTAAATAAAGAGAACATCTGAAAGAAAAAAAATTGAGCCTCTTAACAATTGATAAAGACGATTGTCATCGCCAGACTACCAAAATATTTGCACAGGAGTCACAACCTTCAACCCTTGACGCCCCAGAGAGCGAATTATTATCAAAACAGGACTCGAGCTTCTGAAAGGGGGGTGGCCACTGATCACGCTTATATTCGTTCATAATACGTAATGCTGGTTCAAACTGAGCAGAATATAGAAGCACTTTATCAGTTCAATAAATACTCCAACGTTTACCACCCGTATCATTATCATGTATATAATTTAATTAAGATAAATTAAGCAAATCAATTGTCTTATCTTTAGTTATTTCCGGAACATATTGAATAATAGGTGAATAACTTACATTTTGTATACGATTTTAGAAGCCCCTGAAATCAGAGGGTAAGATAGAGGAAGGGAGAGCGAGACCAACAATCAGACAGCAGACTAACAATTCACATCTGGTTATAATTTAGCTGGTAAAATAATAAAACAAAATATACCTCAACGGGCTACAAACGCAACAAAGAAATTACAACGTGCTTAGAGCGTATAGGTGACATTAAACAGTTCACAAAACAAGAAAAATAATGTTTTTAATAGATAGAGGATGAGAATTAAACAAGTCAATGGTTTGTTCATATACTGTGCCACAGTATGGTCCTCAATATACTCCTCCACCTGGTCAATAGCCTGTCTTTCACTTTCACGTTGTGTTCCTTCATTTTCCTGCTGATGTCCGCCAGGTCTGTCGTCTCTAACTTGTCCACCAAATCTTCGATTGAATTGTAATACGTAATATGTGGCCACTGATAGAAATCAGAAAATTTTAACCAGTATTTGATAGCATCAGCGTCGACCTCGTTGTTGGGGTCTGGAACAGCAGCAGAAAGGACACCTTGGATGCGGGAACGCTGCGGGATAACCGACATATTTTTAGACATGGTCATATCCCATGTGCGTTCGTTGAGGACGTGGTGCTCGCGCTGCCATTCTGTGAGAAGATCTAAAGACGGGAAGAAAAGTGGGATGCCCATCCTGTATTGCTCAAACAGAGACATTACGGATACTTGGTACGGTATATAGACAATGCCAGGGTGGTGAGTGAGATCGCTATATGTATAGCGACTGTACAGACTTCTTAACTGTTCCAGTTTAACATAAGACGTCTTCATGTTAACAGCTTTTTTAAATCTCTCTAAAAACGAAGTCTCAAAGTGACCAACATGACTTGGCGCCAGGAGGAATTCACGCCTCGTCACTTTTGAGTAAGAGTACGACTCACCAACATCACAGTAACTCTCGAGCACAGTGGTTTCAATACCGGTAAAGTAGCGTATATATTCCGCGTCATACAGATTATTACCAGAGACTATGTTACGAGGGTCTTTAGAAATCTTGATAAGATTCTCATTCCATTTTTTCCAGCGCTCCGGCTCAAATCTTCCCAACTCGTACCTCGTGGACGCTATAACCAATATAGTCTTATTAAACGGCATGAAAGCTTCACACATCGCCGCTGGATGGTTACATACGAAAGCGTCCACGGACTGCATCTCGGGGTCGTCTTTGTAGCTCTCGTAGAACTCTCTCTGTAGCTCCTCACTCATTGACATCCCATTGTTTCGGTTGAGCACTCTAAGCCCACGCGCACATGTTTTGGTACACGCGCCCGAGAGACTCATGTCGATCACTTTAACACCAAGAGGCTTCAGCAGATTTGTCAAGTCTTTAATAGGTGAGATGTGAAAGTCACTGCTCCAAATCACCAGACGTGGACACCTCTCCGTTGTACGGTGGACAATGAGCCTTTCTGCTAACAGCACAAGGATGACCGCAACAAAGGTGTTAGTATATCCCTTTCTGTGACTCCATTTTAAACCCCTGTGAACAGAGGCGACGGCCCAAGGTGTCAGCTGCCTAACCGACTTCACTAACGCCTTCCAGTTACGTACCATTTCATATTACCAACGGTCAATCTTAGAGGGGAGGCTGAGTTATCAGGGCACCACCCACTGTCATCTTGATTGAAACGTGTGTAGTAAAATCGCCAAATTGTATATAGACCGGGTGTTGATACCTAAAAACCACATCAAACGACCTCAAATTCCCATACTAGTATATCATAAAGCAAAAATATCCGACCAAAATAGGTTAAGGCGTTGAAAACGAATGTCGCAATATTCCGAAACAATACATATGATAAATTGCTTGGTCATTTTCAAGATGGCGGCGTTGTAAACAATGCATTGCCCTGCAATTACTATTTATATAATAACGTTAGTCAAATTATGTTTATGGACTGAAGGAAAAATATTCAGGCTTTACGAGGGAGGCCGTACGAGGGTGAGTAAAGCAACTGGAGATAAAGACGCCGAGAAGGAAACATGCAGAAAAACAAGGTCATCTTATTTGTGTAGAGCGGCCAGGAATTCGTGTTATTATTATTATTATTATTATTATTATTATTATTATTATTTATTGTTGTGTATTAAATTCATCGTCCGAATTAACAGATGAGAAATTGAAGAGATGGACAGATATTTTATTAACCGCCCCAAGACCAAAGGCTCAATCGTCGTACAGGGAAGGGGAGAACGATAGAACGTATGTTTACCAGAGATAAGAGTACAGTATACACTCTGTACAAGCCCTGTGCCATCATCATATCGTCACCGACTTTGTTCATTTTCTTGGACCAAGAACGCATTTTTGCCATTTCTAGGCCACTGTCTGACTTTTCACAGTAATAAAAACCGGTGTTCATGTGGGAACTGCCCCATAAATATATATTACTAGTATAATAATAGTGGTAGTGAGGCCATTGGTATGCACTTTCGCAGTATCCCCCCCTCCCCCCGGTAACTCTCTCATTTTAATGGTGTAATGATTAAGTAGTGTGGTGACTTTGATAAATGTCTCTGTTATTCAGATAAATTAGTTTGGAAATTTACTAACTAATTTTTATTTTTTTTTTCATTAAACCACCAAGCTCTTTGAGATCACAGCAAATTTTTATCCCAGGGATGGCTGCAGTTTTCATAATATTTAAATGGCATAAAGTTTCATGTAAAAAAAAAAAAAAAAAAAAAAAAAAGATTAGTCAATTTATTAGCAAACTGATTTATTTGAAAAGCAGAAACATTGTCCAGAGTCACCACACAAATTAATTTAGAAAAGATATTGAAAACCAAATGTGTATGGTGGTGGGAGGGGAGGGGGGGTATTGCAAAAGTTCCAAGCCATGATAATTTGGTGTAAGCATAGTCACAGTGGAGGTGATCAACCCACAGGGTTCTCCCCCCCCCCCCCCCAAAAAAAAAAAAAAAAAAAAAAAAAAAAAAAAAAAATTCAAGGTTAATGTTTACATTTGGGTGTGTTAGGGTTGCCTTCCTGTGCTTCATAGAATTTTTCAGTGGACAGTTAGATACTTTGAAGAAATTAAATTTACCAATTCAATGTAATAAAATCTATTACTGAAAAATGAATGAAAAATGACTCTGTCTTTCACAACTCTGCTGTGTGTTGCTTCTGCCAGTTTTTTTTCCGTGATAAATCTTTACATTATCTTTCTGCATTTTACATTGCTATAGATGCATCTCTGCAGCTGTTTCTTTTCTGCCTTCTTTACTCCCCACCAAGTCCTCTTTTCACTATTATTATTATTATTATTATTATTATTATTGGATAAAATGGAAGATAGAAAGTCTAATTTATAATCTAATAATGCACTAGTAAATACCCGAAGCAGAAACCTACACATTTTTAGAATTGCCTTTCAAAAATCATCATCAAAAATCCAGTGATGGAGAATACTAACTAGTAGTTGTACATGTTTGTTAAGAGCTGAGCCCGTCAGTGTTTCCATCTACTTCTGGGCTGTTCCGTGGTATTTAGCCTAAAATTTAAAAAGAAAAAGTTCTACTTACAAAACATATAATTTCTGAAACCAGACATCACTAGACACCAGATTCCAAAAGAAAGTTTAGGTTTTGATGATTAATTATGATTTTATTGAGTATGGTGTTTCCTTTAAAAGCATTCAGTGAGAGAGCAGTCCGACATTGTCTACTGATAGGTTTTTGGTATGTCATTCATTGTCTCTAACATGCTGCACTTGAAGCATTTCATGGTTTTGATTTTACAGTTTCTTTTTCAACTGCTTCCTCTGCTTATGACATTGTGTTTGTTGGGCGTAAAGAGGCCCAGCTAATTGTTTCCATGTTTATGTTATTCAAATGTTTATAAACACACATTTATCATATCCCCAC